ACATCCCCCAGCTCCCTTCATCTCCCGACGCTGCACACAGGACACTGTTCTCCCAGATGGCCGAGTCATCCCAAAAGGTGCCCACAGCCTCAGGGGGAGGAGCCTCCCAGGTAGGAAGATGGGCCCTTCAGGGGGTCCTCGTCCTGACTGCCCCCTTCTCTCCCACAGGCATTATCTGCATGATCAATATTATAGGGGTCCATCACAACCCAAACGTGTGGCCAGATCCTGAGGTGCTGCCTTCCTCATTCACCACCACCACCCCCATCCTCTACTTTTTTTTTTTTTTTTGGTGAATTTCAACGTTCCTAGTGGAGGGGGCAGGGTTTTGATGAGGAAAATCCAACATCACCTCACCCCAACACACACACAACTGTCTCTCCAAGGCTGCTGGACCTAGGAGACCCCACCCAGCAAACCTTTGTCTCACCTGCAGGTCTATGACCCCTTCCACTTCGACCCAGAGAACAGCAAGAAGAGGTCACCTCTGGCTTTTATTCCCTTCTCCGCAGGGCCCAGGTAAGAGCGCCCTGTGTCTGAGGCAGGGGTGGGGTGATGGGTGCAGGAGTCGAAAAAGGAGGACGTTGCAGATGGTCCCAGTTCCAGCTCTTCCCTCCATTCCTTCACAGTTTATGGGAAAATGTCCATGGAATGGGGATGAGTAGGTCCTAGAGGGGTCACCGGAGTGCTCAAAATCCCCTTCTCCATCTGCTGGTCTGAGCTGGGAGCTGGAGTCTGGCCCACGCTCTGGGACACGCAAGCCCACATGGGGGTCCCAGGCACACTTAGCCCCTCTCTATATCTCTCAGGCTGAGCTGGGTGTGGTTGGGGGGTCCCGGACCAGGTTCCTGGAGTGATGGGACCCAAATGCGGGTCTTGGGTGCAGTCACAGTCCACTCTCCCGCCTGCAGGAACTGCATCGGGCAGGTGTTTGCCATGGCGGAGATGAAGACAGTCCTGGCGCTGTTGCTGCTGCACTTCCGGTTCCTGCCGGATCACACTGAGCCCCGCCGGAAGCCGGAGCTGACCATGCGCGCCGAGGGCGGGCTTTGGCTGTGGGTGGAGCCCCTGAACACAGGCTTGCAGTGACTCTGTGATCCATCCACCTCTTTTTTTTGCAGATTCTAATGAATAAAACGGTGATGTCACCTCTGCCTGGGCCTCACTGACTGCCTGCAGGGGGCTTTGGGGATTGGGAGGCTTCAGGGTGAGGTCTAACCTCGGTGGGTTGGGCGGGGTGTTGTCCCTGACCCCAGGAACCTGACTGCCTCTTTGGCTGAGCATAGGGCCTCCATGCCTATAGCAGGGTCTCTCAGAGCCCAAGTATGGACTTTATCCTGTGGACAATATGGAGCCATGGGAGGTTTTTGAGCAGGAGAGGGACCAGGATTAAGAACGGGTTTAAGAAGCGAGACCCAGGCTGGGTCAGTGAGAAGCAACCCTAGAGGCAGATCCTTTCTTCTGGTCTGGGAGTGTCCCAAGACCGAAGTCCCTGGCCAGTTCAGAACATAGGGATAGAAGGGTGCAGCTTTTACCCTGGCAGGCTCTCAGGAATTCTGTTTCCTTTCTTGCCAACGTCCCACTCTATGTCTCCCCTTTCCAGTTGATCACTTTTCTGATCCCCTTTTCCTAACTTCAGGCAGCTCCATTTTTTCCCTCTTTTGAGACCTCTGACTCTGCCCAGGCAGGCCGTCCATCAGGTACTACCTGAATCCTCCCCCTACTCTCTTCTGTTATGTGCCAGGCACTCTCACAAGTGTCAGAGGTTGGGCACATCCTCACCCTTTCACCTCTAGATTCCTCCTTCATTCCCATCAGTGACCCATCTTGGGGTCAGGACCTTCCCGTTTGACCCTTGAGATTCAAAGTCAGATGACTGGAAACAAAACACCACCCCAAAGGTATGGGATCTGGAGCCAGACTGTGGTGCTGAAGTCTCACATTTGCTCTGTGACTTGAGCCAGTTAATTCCCCTCTACGTACTTCAGTTTCCTCAAACATATAATGCGGGCAACACTACGTACCTCAAGGTTGTTCTGAGGACAAAGTTTGAGGAACTCAGAACTGTGTCTGGTGCAGATTGGATGCTTAATAAATGTGGCCATTATTACCTCCTCTCCGAGAAAGTCTGGCTAATAAAGCATGTTGCCTTTCAAGATAGTTTTTTTTTCCTACCATGACTTTAAAGACTGTCTTGGAACTCATAGGCAAAAATTCTGATATCTGTGCTCCTTGAATAATCTCTTGCCTTTTAGAGGACTGTGCACTTAGAAGGCAATTTTTTCCAAGACTGGTTGCGGGCACCTGAAAGTTCAAGGTGGTAGGAGAAGAAAAGAAGCTTCAGTTAATGTTTTAAAATGATGTCCTGCTACAAACATTGACCTCCGTTCATAGTCTAAGGAATCCTGCACCACTGCACTCTGCTGACTTGTCAAATCTTCTCTCCAGCTCATATCCCTCCCTTGTTACACTCAGTTGCCTTGTCCTTGATTCTTATCTACAAATACATTATGTTTTCTTGTTTAGTGCCATTGTACTTCCTTTGTACTTTTGTGAAAGATCAGTTGCCTATATTATAGGGTCTATTTTCTGGGATTTATATTCTGGTCCATTGACGTATTTGTCTTTTCTTTTACTAGTACCACAATATCTTGATTACTGTAACTTTACAGTAAGTCTTGAATTTGTACAACTTCAATAAATGATGCACAACTTCAATAAATTTATTGAATCTGCACAACTTCAATAAATGATGGTGAGAGAACTGGATGTGTACATGCAGAAAATGAAACTAGAGTCTTAGCTCTTACCATATTCAAAAATCAAATCAAAATGGATTAAAGACTTAAATGCAAAATCCTGAAACTGTGAATTACTTGAAGAAAACATTGGGGAAATGCTTGAGGAAACTGATACAGGCAATAAGTTTTTTGATAAGAACTCAACAGCATAAGCAACAAAGGTAAAATAGATGGATGGAGTTAAATCAAACTAAAAAGCTTCTTCAGAGCAAAGAAATCAATCAACAAAGTGAAGAGACAACCTACGGAATGAGAACAAAAATTTTCACATTTTCAGTCTGACAGAGGATTAATAGTCAGACCATATGAGGAACTCGAACAACTAAATAGCAAAGGAAGCCCATAAATAATTTAAAGAAAAATAGACAAATGATTTGCATAGCATTCCTCAAAAGAAGACATACCAATAGGTATATGAAGAGTTGTTCAACATTACTAACCATCTGAGAAATGTAAATTAAAAGCACAGTGAGATAACACCTCATCCCCGTTGAAATGGGGATTAGAGAAAAGACAGTTTATTTATTTTATTTTTCCTGAGATGGTGGATTGGATGTATTGTTAGCATGCTTCTCCCACTTGGAAAAACAAATTCGTGTGTAAAGATTCACACAGTGAAGTTTTTTCCAAGAAGTGACACAGGAACTTCATAGGAAAACTGAAAGAAATCACGCTTTGAAAGAAGCATCAGGCTGCAGCCTACATCACGAGCCAGGTGGACAACTGTAAGTCCTCAGAGTGTGAGAGAGGGATAAAGTGCCTCCAGGATATACAGTCCCACC